ATAAGATACAAATCTTTCAAATCCTTCGTCCGTGCGAATCCCTCGCAATTCAAGCAAGAATGGTCAGGAATGGCGAAGGTATGAACGAGAAAAAGGGGTGCAATAACAGAAGGACCACAACTTTTTCTTCCGCTTATATCGTCATTTTTACGGAAGGATAATATTCCAGAAGAGGATTCACGCGCACGAAAAATCGTGACGATCTATTCCTCCATATGAATAACGAATACGAGAATCAAATGTTGTTGATTTAGATGATATAGTTTGATGAAAAATAAATAAATATAAGCAGTAAGAAAAGCCGGATTCCTTAGAAACGTAAATATATGCTAGTACATACAATTAAGTTTCATAATTATGAATAAATTATAACTGAAAGATTATTATGGTAGTTTTGTTTCGATAAAATTAAAATAACTTTTATAGTTTTTAATTTATTCTTTAACACAAATCATACGATATCTTAATATTTATTGTTTATGATTTTGGTTTATATGAAGCAAGAATATTAACTTGAAAAATTAATTAATCATTTATATATTAATAATTTTAATAAGCATTGGCGTCCGTTTAATTTCGTTTCTATTTAGGCAATATTTTTTAACATGCACTATCAGTATACATAAATTACTTAAACCGATAAACCGATAACCGATATGTGGAAACATGATTCGAGGTTACGGCTAAGTAAGATGATTAAATTGTAAGCACGACCTCTGTTTTAACGATATTCAGAAGTTGTCAGACGAGTGTCGGGATTTAGCTTTCTCTCTGTACATATATGCACTGTATGTCGCAATGGCACAGTCGGTTCCTTGATAGAGATTAAAATGCGGTAAAATCGCTTGTCGATAATTTGTCAAACCAAAAATTTACAAAGAATTATTGGTAGCAATATATTATATAGAACTATTATAATAATAATACTGTCTCCCTTTTCTTTTCTCTCTCAGATATTTATAGCTTTACAGAACCTAATCGACAAATTTGTGATAAGGTGAATTTATGCCAAGGGCGTCACTCTATCCGTACATTGATAAATCGAGCACGATCAACTAACGCGAATAATATCTTTAGGCTACTAGTACGAGTGTACGTGTGTATGTGTGTGTGTGTGTGTGTGTATGTTCAAGGTAGAATATATTATGATATCACAAATATATATATATATATATATATATATATATATAAATTATATTAAAAAATATTAATTATATTAAAATATAAATTATATTATTATGTATCGATATTATCTGAATTTATATTTGACACTTATAAAATTTATACATATATGTAAAATAACATAATAGTAAATTAAATTATATACCATAATACTCGAGATAACAATATTTTTTTATAAACTTTCTTGATTTTTGAAAGAGAGTATCTGCAGAGAGACGCGTTTTGCATTTTATTCTATTATTATGCTCATTTTCGCGTCTAATACGATTTACAATTCCTGTTGTCAAAACGCCGATTAGTAAAATGATCATTTGTGCATGCAAATGTCTGCAAGCGCCGTGAAATAATAATTCGACTCCAGATCGAGGAACGATTCGAAATTAATCAAGCTACCGACGAACCGTGGCGAACGTGCCGTTCCGAGAATAACTATTTTAATTCAATATCCGCCGATTCGCGATTCATCGAGTCAGTGTCTCGTGGATCGGAACGATATATTATCCCTAAAAAATTTTTCTATCGCCGTAAAAACGCACGAATTTAAATCCTCACGTCCTTGACGGATTTGTTCTCGGAATTAAAAAACACAGCTTACACTCTAGATTATATCATACAGGTACACAGAGTTAATATTTAATTTATTACTTCAGGTTATTACTTCAGAATTACTTTATATTTGCTGTTTTCTTTCGAAACGGCATCAATGCTTGTGATATTCTGTCAAGAATATTGAATAAAGATTGCAGTTAAATTTAAATACTTTTATTTAAATACTTCTATTTGACTTTTCGCATTGTCGTGTGCGTGCAGCACTATTTGCGAATGCAATGAAAATGCGGACCTATGTGTCACAGTAGCGTGATGTTGGAACTCAAATAGAGCCATTTACTATGCTGCTTCAAATAGCACACATCGCAGAAGACACATGCATTGCTATAGATTCTGAATGAGAGGAACATTACTTGAGATTCTTAACATACCCGAACTAGTCGCGAAGTGCGAAAATATTTTTGCACCGTAATTTTCATCTTGCTGTTTTGCCTTTATATCACTGGTATCTCGATATTCAATACACGCGAAGGAAGATAACATAATCACTGTCAAGTTATCATGGCAAATAGGTATACTATAACACAAATCTTTCGATCGACGATATTTCGAAACTTTTCGACGAAATTGATCGTTGATAGAAACGTATTTGTTTTATTTTTCTATTACTGATAGAAGTGTATACTAAAATATATTTTTTCCTGTGTCATAATTTGACTAGTTTTACAGTCAAAAATATTTCTGTTTCAAAATAAGTTAAGTGACATAATAATGTCATTCAGCGAAACTAGTTGCACATACACATTTTTAAAAAGACACATTTTGAAAGTTACTTTATTTAGGTCATGTTATACAATACAATACGAACTATATTTTATCTGATTTTCAAATGACAAATAATGCAATATATGCCAATGTATGAAGTTATTTATATTGTTATTTTTAGTAAGAATTTTGTTTTTTTAGAAATAAATATTTTTAATTCGATTGATCGATCGATCGATCGATCGAGAGAGAGAGAGAGAGAGAGAGAGAGAGAGAGAGAGAGAGAGAGAGAGAGAGAGAGAGAAAAAGAGAATTAAAATTCGAGTCTCGAGTTTCTTAATTTATAACAAAAATATATTATATTTCTATTTAATACATGTATTAATTAATTTTTATATATTTATTTAGCAATTTAAAGTACTAATTAAAAATATATAATACAATCTAATTATATATATACATACACACACATACACACATATATATATATATATATATATATATATATATATATATATATGAAATTAATTGTATAAATTATTAAGAAAAAGAAATTAAGAGAAGTGTTTTTTTAGATGTATACATGTAAGATTTTCATGAATATTGAATAGTTGAAAAGTCTTTTGATTATAACTTCACGAATGTGTGAATATTTTAAAATTTCCAAAACGCATAATTTATTACTTTAACTATACTCTGCATTTTTAACACATATATAATATCTTATACATATATATCTAAATAAATCTTCGTTTACGCGCTACTATAGGCCTGAAAAAAATTGCGTCGTAAAAGTTATGAAGAAGCTGACCCGAAGGATCGTCACGTCAGTCGGTCGACGAAATGTCGCTTCGGCGGAAATTCGTACCCCGCGGAATGATATTTCGCTGGATTGGCGGGTTCCAGAAGCGATCCGAGTTCGCGATGACACGAGTTCGACTTGTGCTTGTATCCGCATCTACGGAGTTCGAGGTGTGATCGGAATATAATCGATTCGCGCGAATTATATCAGAGAATGTTTCTTACTGGGGTGTCCGACAAGTTCGGCGGTGTTTCGCATAACAATTCGATCCGTATTTTCCGAGTCCACTCATCACCGAATATTCGACGATCCATGGGGATACATCGGTTCTCTTTCCCTTTACCTGTTGATCATCGTTAACTCGCGAGTTTTTTTGTACAATGCAATCGACATATTTTATTTTAGAAACAGAAAAAAATATGAAGCTCCGAAAATTATACAACTTATATAAGTGCTTTTTCAAAAAGAAATAATCTTTGTTTAAAATTTTATTTTTTATATTTACGATTTATGAAACAAACTCTATTAAATATTTATGATTGCCGTACATATATGGTATAACATTATATATTTCTACAGTACATAAATATTATATATTTTATTTTGTTCTTTATGGCGATTTAATGGCTGCGAAGTATCATTATTGAAGAATTCGAAATTTTTTTTTAGAATGTCGCAAACAATTATTATATTGGAAATATGATGAATTCTAGATTAAAGAAGTAAAATAGTTATATCAATACAGCTACACTGGTGATTTAATGAATTTACAATGGTACCAATGTTAATGTAAGCAATACATTTAAATAATCGAATTTTTTCCGACTTTGCCATTTATATTGAATTTTATTTCGATTTTTCAATAATCAAAAGCACGAATGAAACGGAGCACAGTTGGAGACAGAAAGATACTATCTTGCTCGGATCATCTATGCAAATTTATTAAAAATTAAACACAAACGAAAATGTGACAGAGTGTCATGATATAAAAATCAAAGAACGAAGGATACCTTCGACACCTCAAATAGGTGAGAAATCATTTGTAACACTCTAACATACGAATCTATCGTAACGATCTACGACAGCGATAAGTATGCCTCCACGTGAGATATCCGGCGATTCTTATCATCAGACGTAAGTGAGATACATAATAAGGTATTAATCGCGGTAATTGAACCTTGTGAACTATTTAATCGCTGCCGCGGGGAATTTCCGAAATTTTTCGCAAGTTTCTAACTGATAAATTTGCACATATTTTCAAATATGATAATGAATTAGCATACTTTAATCATAATTTTGTGTGTGTATGTGTGAATTTTTATTCCATCTAATTTTAAATATAAAAATAATTTTAAAAATGATTGTATTTTTTTATTTACTGAATTAAATGATGTATTACTACGAATCTCTGTTTCATAGCATCATTTAAAAGTTTTACAGTGGTAAGTTAAAGATTTTCAAAATTATTTTCAAAATTATTTTCCGTCGATTAAATTGACACGAAATGCCAATTAATATCTCTTCAATCATCGTTCAGTAGTATTACACGTGCAATTTTCCGAAAGGAAAACGAACCACGCACCGCAATACTTTTTTCGGAGCACCATCTGCTCCAAGGAGAAATGTTGCGAATCAACACCGATAATATCAGTTCGGGGACCAGACGATCTGATATCATGAAAGGCTTATTCTAAAAACTTACCTCGGATGCTGTCACGAGGCCGTCCGCCGCGATCAGCAACAGGAACAACGCACTCTTTAGCAACACACGGTTCTTCATCTCGTTGCTGGTCGTTCCTCGCGACCGGCAAGGAGTCACTTCTTTTCTCGACCTCTTCGTCCTCTTCTTGACTGACCCCTTCTTTCTTCCTCTCTCTTCCCTTTTCTCTTTTTATTATCTATCCCTCTTGATCTTTCTCGCTTGCTCTCTCTTTCTCTCGATCGACACCTTAGCGACAATGCATGGCAAACGAGCGATGAAAAAATGACTGATCCAAGGACGGCTGCGTCCTGCTTTTCGTCCTATGAATGATGTTTGTCGAGAGTTTCCCCGATGATCTTCGGTGGTTCCTTTCGCGCGAACGTTCGCGGATGCGCGGGCGGATGAAACGGACGGAAGCTGATGACGGGTGGACCGATCAGGACCGGCAATCGCGGCACACGACCTGGACCTTCTCTCTTTCCTCCGTTTGCTCTCTTTATTCGCTACTCGTTACCGAAAAGGCCGCGCGACCACGCCGTGGCCAACAACACCGCACCGGCGTTCGGTAGCGTCTGAGAGGCCGAGCGTACAGACAAGATAAAACTTTTTCAAAAGCCCCGTGGTTTTCCCTCTCCTCTTCGGCGGATCCGGCTCTTTCTCTATCTACTCGCTCTCCTCGTCCCGCTCTCGCGGCTCGACTTCCTCTTTCTCCACGTTGGATTCTCTCTTGCCGAGGAGAGTTCGTCTTTCCCCCTTCTTCCATTCCTTCCCTCTCTCCATCTCTTTCTCCCTCTCCTTGTATTTCGCCGACGCGATCTCGCAGCTTCTCCCACTATTCGGATCGGCACATTCCCACCCTCCACCAGATTCTTTGATCTGCCGTCTCGTTCTATCGAAGTTCGCTCTCGTCTCTCTCTCTCTCTTTCTCTCGCTCTTTTGATCCCCACTGCTATAAGGGTAGACGCGTTTCTCCCTCGGACCAATATCCCTTGGGATTCTCTCCTCGTTCTCATCGTGGTCAAAGTCGTTCTCTACTATCGTAGCCGCTGTCGAACGACGAGGCCGCTTAGGAGACAGCCGGCCCGCGAGCGAAGATCACGGTTGCACATTTTCACGCCCGCGCTCTCTGCAATCTAAAAATGCGTGATATGTTGAGTCGTGAAAATATAGATTTTTTATTATTGATACTGAAAGTATTTTTAGCTAAGTATATATCTGAAGAGCAAAGATATAAATAAAATTGAAATCTAAGAAGAGTAATGATTTTCATAAAAATTTCAATTAAATTTATTAACTAAAGATGACACGATAAATATATAAGTTTTGATAAACATAATATTATTATCATTTAATTGATACATTTATATTCATATAACTTTTGCATATAACTTTTTAAGTATAACTAATTTTATTTTATATTTGTGAATTATGTTAATGTGATTGAGTATTAATTATACATCCATACACGTATATATATATAATTGTAATATCCTTTGGTATAGAATCTTAAAGATATTTAATCAAAGAACAGAATGTTTACGATAAATCAATAATTTATTATTAATATCGAGTATTTTTGATATCAATAATTCATATTTCCTATAATAATTCATATTAAATATTATTTTTAATTAATAAATCTAATAATGGATTAATAATCGAATGTTAGGTGCCATTGGAAATTATATAATTATAATTATATAATTATAATTAAATATTAAAAATTAAATTAAATCAAAAATTTAATTTAATAAGCTAGGTTTCTGAGACATGAGGAGATAATAAAATCTTACAATTTCATTAAATTTGTAAATTTTAATTATTAAGTAACTTTTAGTTATTAAAAATTATTATTAAAAATAGTTTATTAAAAATTAATATTAAAAATTTAAAAATGTTGCAATAAAGAAAATAAAATTTGACTAAATCATTGCACAATACTTTCAAAACTTGCCAAGATATGTAGTCGTATATACTTGACATTTAAATTTACGCACATCTTAATAAAAATTATTTAGTATTATAAAGTTACTTTGTGACATGAGCATTATGCGAATTTATATTCTGCACGAACTGGAGTCAGTTGCGACAGAGCGTTTTAATCGGCGGCCCACGCGTTTCGTCGCTGCTGAAAAAGAACATTAAAAAAAAATGACATTTCCTCGCAGACTGCTTCCCAATAGTCCTTTCTCTCTCTTTTTCAGCGTCTCAGCAATGCTCAACAGATGTAAGGGAGATGATATTTTTTAAGCGGGTCAAGCGTCATCACGCAGCCGCACTGTCATCGTTATTCGCGCTCTGGCTTGCTTTGCGTTGCATTCGTTCTCTGCGTCTTACAAACTCTTCGACAAGAGCATCTGTTTGCAAAACATCATATTATATTTTTAATATAAATTTAGGCCGGGTACATGCAATGCAAATTGACGATTACTGCGACAATTATCTAGAAAAATTACATTGTTATATGATTTTCATTGACATATGACGAAACTCCACAGAAACTAAAATAATTAAAATTGAAAATAACTATCTTGTAAGAAATATTTTAAAATATACTTGCATGCACAACTACTATTATCCAACGAAATTTCATTATCATAGAAATCATCGATCGAGAAAAATTATTTTGTTTAGAAATTTTAATTAAGAATATTAAAAAGATTGTATTTTACTTAATAATTTCTGTGAACAGAAATTGTTATATTTTCTCATTTCTAAAAATTTTCAACTATGTTCATTGTGTATATCAAGACAATATTTAATTTATTATATGGCAAAATTTTGATAATCGGTAATTAAATGGATAGCATTAACGGTTGTTGATTTGATGTGATTAGAATTTCAAAAATTTAGTATAATTAAATTTTTAAAGATGCCACAGATTTCAAAAATTAACTATCAAAAAATTATCAAATTATTTGTATCATATTATAAACAATCTAATTGTGTAATACAATTTTGTTTTTATATATAAATATTAACTTATATCTCTCAGAAAACTTTGTTCTTTGTAATATATTTCAAAATCGTAACAAAATTAAAAATGTCGGTAATTATCATTCATAAAAATAAATTGCCTTTTGTATATCGATATTTATAATTATAGAAAATATGTTATTCGAAATTGAAGGAATGTTGATCGCGATCAGACAACAAATCTTCAAACTTCTCGATAAGAAAAAAAAGAATTAATCTCCCCGATCGAGATTAAGATATGGATTCTGTTCACGGACAGCACGTGGACAGAACAGTAAAGCAGATTCGCGAAAAGGTGCGATGTGAATACACAAAACTACAACATTGCAAGGGTTTTATCGATAATATTAACAAATACTAAAATAAATCTCAGGTGAAACAAGCTCATAGTTACTTAGATAATTTATGACAGTCATATAATCCACAATTACATGTACCTCTCGCAAAATATCGAAGACGATTATCTCTTTTTTTATATCCTTAATTTGTTCTGTCCGCTTATTTGGCGAATAATGCGGCACATCAAATCAACAACCTTAGTGCTATCCATTTAATTACCGAGCATTAAAATTTTGTTATATAATAAATTAAGTATTATGTCTTGACATACATAATGAACATAGTTGAAAATTTTTAGAAATGAGAAAATATAACAATTTCTGTTCATAGAAATTATTAAATAAAATACAATCTTTTTAATATTCTTAATTAAAATTTCTAAAAAATAATTTATATCAAACAATTGCATATTATAATACTAAAATGATAATAATAATGATAACGAGCATGTATATGACACTTAAAAAAATATATAAATTATCATTTAGCATAAATTAATCTTTTATACCTAGATATAGCATCTTAATAATATGCACATTTATAAGAATATCGCCACATGTATTAAATGCACATGTTTATCAACATCCTGCTTTCTATACATAAAGTTAAGATATTATTCGTTGAATAAAATTTAATAAAAATAAAAACTATTTAAAAGAAAATTATAAAATTATGCCAGAAATTATTATATTTTAAAAAGATAAAAACGAAAATATATGAAATTTTACATAAGATTATCCGTGACAGCAACTACGTGACAAATTATTTAAATGATACGAAATAAAAAATGTAAACATTTTATGGATACTGCATAATAAACAATATCATTCACAGAATGATGACATTATCTATTATGCATAAATTGAATTTATAAATAAATAAATATATATACATACATATGTATGTGTGTGTGTACGTATATATACTGAAATATGTACGTATGTATATATATATATATATATATATATATATATGTATGTATGTATGTATATATGAAATGAACAATTCACATTACAAATAGGTACATCGATTGTAATTGCCTAGCTATTCAAATTATTTTACTTTTATTGGTTTAGATTAAGAAATTATTTATAAAGTCAAATTGATAATATTTCATTCAAAAATGAAAATGTTAGACATGTCAATTTTCTAGGCGCCATTTGTTCATTTATTTTTATTAAACACGGAATTTGTTGTAGCGAAATAGCATATATTTGTTTGTGTTCAGATTTGCGAATTGTAGAGACAGTTAGTAATTATAAATCATTCCATGATCTCATCTGCGAGAATAAATCATTCACGTAATTCTATTATTATTGATTTCAATCGGATCGGTTATTTACATTTCTTATGTAAACTTAAAAGTTTCATTTGTGATGCAATTATTGTAACAGATTAAATAAATAATTAAACAGAAAAATTTAATTGAATTAAATTTAAAAATTACATTATGTATAAGGAAAATAATTGTAAATACATATAATTGCTAATATATATAAATATATATATATAATATGAATATTACATATATTTTAAACTTATAACCGAAAAAATACACAAAATGATAAAAGTACTGTACGTATGTATCACACATTCAGTTACAAATAATATTTTTTATCACATGTGTAGCTAATACATGTGATTATGTCATTGTTAGTTAATATGTTTTATGTATCATGAAAATAATTAAAAATAAAATAATATAAAAAACTTATTGAGTTTGCAAAACTCTTTATGCGTTAAGGTAATACAATTAATATGATAACAATAAACGATAAGAATTATATGTAATAATAAGACCAATCAAAATACTTCTTATTGTTTATATAAGTACAATCATCTGATCCTAGAACTACACACCACTTACAATTTTTAGTTACATCTTCGATGCAATCGATGTCATCATCAAGATTTTTACTAACATTAAAGTATTTTAATAGAACTTAATATCGCATCTTTATACAATTTTTATCTGTAAAAGAATAAGATTATATGGATTAGCAACATATAATCGGAATTTATCAAATCCATCATATTCACTTTACAAATTTTTCTTAAAAAGTATATAAAAAGAAGATAACTTATATCTTACAATTTATACATTTGATTTTAAAATTAAAAATTAGCATGTTGGAAAAAATTGGTTTTTTTGCCAGAACATTAATGGCGTTATTTTGTTAGCATGTACATGCCTCACTTGTATCAGTTTTTCAAAACATCAAAAGAGTTGCATATTATATTTAATAAATATAAATATAAATTAAAATATTTTCTGAAATAAAAATAAAAGTTCATTATGTCTTTTTATATTACTTTATTGAAGATTAGGCACGGCCGAATTATATTTCATTATTAACATACATATTTGAGATGTAAAAATATAATTAATGTATAAAATTTTTTTATTCGTTGAATTTTTAAAATCATCAATATTATCTGTTGAAATTAAAAGTGCCAAATATGAAATCACTTAGAGAGACAAAAATAGCAATTATATTTAAAAATATATTATATATTATATATATTATATATTTAAAATTTTAAAAAATTTTAGAATCTATGCATTTCTTTTAAATGTTATTATTAATCGGTCGTGCCTATCGCAAAAGAAGCTTTGCCTTTTTATGTGATATTTCAGGAAGTGAAGCTGTTTGTCTCTTCCTTTCTCTCTCATCGAACTGTAATGCACGCTTATCAATCCACATTAATTACGACTAAATTGGTTTCGCATCGATTTGTTTTGACGGTTCGCAAGTTCTTCAATATTCCTTCTTACAATCAATATATACTTAGGCTGCAGCAAAAAATATGAAAGCTAAACAATATATGCAAGTTAATTAATATTATATATGTAATGGTATACACAAATAATCACTTAAACTTACATGTATATGCATAAGATCATTGCAAATTCATTTCACATAATAATCTGTAGCTTCATTGTTAATCAAGACAGAAACGTTTCTATTTTAAATGCGCAATTCCTTATTATTAGCATCAAAACTAAATAATAGATTAATATGTGCGTATGTTTTATGTGTATGTATGTAATGTATACTATTTTAATTCATGCAGTCAGCATAATCAGTCCTATCCATCCCTAACACAAAACAGAATCATAATAGGAAACGAAATCTCACTTAAATGTATCACAAATATTGTATCTGATGACCAGATTAATGTTAGAAGAATGATGAGCATGAGACTAGTATATTATTACATTATCATTACAAAAGTATTAAACTTATAAAATCTATGTGCAGTTCTGTTAGTTCTTATAGGACTTGACTGCAAAAATTGGTTAAACTAACGATTCTATAATTATCACGATGTCAATTCATCAGCATATATATATATATATATATATATATATATATATATATATATATATGTATGTATTTTAAAAGATTCAAATGTATAACTATTCTATGGAATACTCTATTGTATGTTATACAAAAATTTTTTAAATGTTTAAAACTCATACTTTCTTAAATATTATAAATCTTTGTTTCTTTTGGCATGATCAAGAACCACAAGCCCACAAATGCTTTTTTGTGCACATAAACGCGATAATTTATGTATATTATGAGATTTGTTTAATATATATTTTACCATAACTGATATTTTAATGAATACAATATCAAATTTTATACTCATATACGTAATATGATTTTTATAATCATGAATTTAACAAGAATATAAACAGATTATTTTATATGAATAAGTATTTATGCTCTTTTTTATATAAGAGATATATATTATATATATAACAATTTTTAAAAATCCAGTGTAAGATATATTACATAAATGGCATTAATAACAAATTGTTACTGCTTTCACAGTGATGCATTTATAGAAAGTAATAATATAATATTAATGCAATGTACAACTTGATAAACTGCTTTGTAGAAATAAAAATGAGAATTATAAATAAATATTATATACAATTAAAATATAATCCAAATGTAATATGTAATATCAAAATATCTATTCATATTTAAACATCATGAAAACATAATACAGTATAATTATTTATATCAGTAATGAGCTTATCTGAAACAAAATGTATCATTGAATTAATCATTAAATTTGTGCTTCCCACTCTTGTACAGTCTCTGTAAATATAAATGGTATTTAAATTTTATACATATTGAATACTTAACTTTAATAAAATTTGTGAAATACCAGCATATTGCTTACACAATAAATAATATAAATATTTCAAATCTTTCTTTAAAAAAGTAAGTGAAAATGTTAAAAATATTTAACAGCGTTTTTATCTGATAATCCAATATAACACATGCTTATAATTTATAAAATGTGACATATATTTTTTTTTCATTTTTATAAGAAGAATGTTAATATTATATAGACAAAATCTTGCATTGAAAATTTATATAGAAAAAACTTGCATTGTACATTTAAAGAAAAAAATATATGTATGAAAATTAATTATAATTAAAAAATTGTCACTTTTCAATCCTTAGACAAAATCTTATCTGTAAATTTATTCTGTGGAATGCAGCATCTATAATACTTTTGGTTAGATCTTAATGTATGTCAAGTTATTTTCATTAAATGTTATTTGCTTTTATTATAATGCATCTGTTAAATTGACAAGCACAATATTGATATAATTGGCATACAATTTGCATTTTGTTTTGCTAAATAATAATGGCAGATTAGGCTGAAAATACTTCGATATAATTTAATTACTTGTACAACAAAATTTATTATACAAAAAGAGAAAAAAACTAGATGGAAGAAATAATCTTTATAATTCTTTCTATTAAATCATATTACTATAGTTAACTCTTTATCATATAAAAATTTGTAAAAATTTGTATTTTTGTTTTTTATAAATATGGAACTATATAAATAAGGAAAAAAACATGTTACAAAAATCTTACAAATGTATAATAATCAGTGAAGTTTATGAAGCGTATTAAAAAGCAGTTCATTTTTTCGTTGTTAATATAAGGTATGCAACTAAAACAATATATTGAAGTGAATGCAGAAATATATTCAACTCAACAATAAAAATGCTTTATAAGCGAATAATTTATAAAAAGTTTTTTAGCCTTTTATATTATACAATTGTTTTTAAAATATAAAATTTGTCAATAATCGTCCAATGAAGAAACAAAGAAAAAGAATAACCTTATTAATTTCATTCAATTCATAGCCTTTCAATTCATAGTGTAGTATAAATTAAAAGTAATTTAAATTTTTTCTAAAGCTTCAATTGCTTCACCATTGGCCATTCTATTACTAGTTTTGTGTCGATGATTGTACATAGTCTGCAGAGGTACATGAAGTAACTCCACAATCTGTATAAAGTTAGGCTCTGTAACAAAAGTGTACCAACAAATCATTGTTATATAACATTTTCAAATTTGAAAATTTTTAAAATAAAACATATATAATCAAGTATGCAATTTTACCATTCTCCGCTGTGATGTATCCATGTCTAATTAAAAAGTCAAGGGCAACTGGTACAGACGTAGTTTTGAAATGTGGGGAAAGTATCCTCTCTAAGCATTCACCAACAGGAAGTAATTCGAAAGTCTCTACTTCTCCATCGCTATTATTTGGTACAAAATCGGGTGGCAGCTCAAGATCATATACAAATTCCGTGTTAGGAAACAAACCCCTTTCACTTTCGAAGAAGAATGACACACAACCAGCGCTCTTAAGCTTGGCAATAAGATTATTTGGAATACCAGCTTCTTCTCCAGCCTCTTTTATCGCAGTTTCATTTATGCCATAACCAACACTCAATCCTCCACTCACCATGCTATCCCAATATGCTGGCCATGTTTGTTTATTAGGACTACGTTTTTGTAACCATATTGATAAGCCTTTAACAGGATCCATAACATAGCCATTTATATCTACTCCATATTTTCGAATTCCAAATAAACCTATTATTTCAAGAAGCCCACAAAATATAAATAATTATTTGTAATTCTTTCAATTATATTAAATAAGATTTTCTTTTGCTTATACATACATGTAGCCGAGCGATCCATTTTAAACAGTGGTAATGTATTAAACTGAGCACGCACTTCATGACATTCCTCTCTCCAGCCTTGTAATGTCACAAATTTTCCACCCGCTTTCCATTCTCTTAATACTTCATCAACACGTGCGCTTCTTTCAGCATAATCACGAAATGCTGGATTTAATTGTACATATTCAGGATGCACTTGAAATACCTTAGAATCGATATTGCAATAAATACAAATGATGCATATATATAATTATAAAGAAAAGACACCACACAAACTCACTTGAGGATGATTTAATATTTCTTTCATTACATCTGGACGTACAAGACCGATTTGCTGTCCATCGACAACAAAAGCTCTGCATTCTCCTGCATGCAAACCTAAAGAAAAATATATTTTTGCAATTCATACATAAATGCCATACTAGTTGTGATTTTTATATTCTTGAAAATTATAATTGTGACATAAAAATCATTGGATGCTGTTTTTAAAGATCAAAAAATTGTATATAAAGAGCAAGAAGTCTTAGATGGAAAATTTAAGTATTTTTTCAAAATTTTAAATGCAAATTTTATACAAATAGTTGTACTTCTCTCAAAAATGCTATATATTGTAAAGTTTTTCAATGTATAATGATGTTTCCATATTTAAAACAAGTATATTAATATTATTTTAGTTATATCTGCCATTATTAAAAAAAAAAGTCAAAAGCGATTTTAGAACTATTGTTTTTCGAGAGAGGCTCATAACTATCGTCGATGAGCCAAAATACGACAAAAATGCGCATAATAATCGCGCGACATAATATGTATTTTTTTTTTCATTATTTTGCTCCAAAACGCGAGGGACAAATACACATAACACTCGAAATCAATATTCTTGTTGGCCCGCACGAACGGTAGTCGCGCGTTATCGATTATGCGACAGGGAGACGCGTCGATTGAGATAATACGGTGCACTGCAGGTGCAAGTCGCTTTTGCTTACCTGACAGGTAGAAGCAGTTAAATTTATTCGCGAGTTTCATTAAACGTGACATCGGCTTCTTATCGTTGTCCGCCATAATGTTACGTCGTTGTCATCCGGCCAGCTGCGACACGAGCTCTGACTGGCATTGAATATGGATATATATCAGAAGGGAAACGATACTTTTGTGTATAACAGCGTTGCGCAGACTGGAGCGTCGCGATTGGCTGGCTGGTTTCCATGCTTACTACGCCGACCAATCAGCGGCCCGCTAGTGGGGCTCACGTTACCAAGCCATCGTGCCGTTGTCACTAACCTCCAAGTCGAAGAAGAAGAAAACAAGGATAACGGTCGACAAGATAAGCGAAATAAATCATGGATACCTCGTTATCGTCAATTCGAAAGCTGTAATTATTTATTTGTACTTAATTCTCTATTTTTCGCATGTCTCTTCATTGTACTTATTGTGAAGTTCGCGAGAATAATATTACGCGTTTAATAACACGTGGAGTAAAGAGAATGTGTCAGACACGCTGCTATATTTTTTCATTTCGCGAAAAATTTATAAGATAAGATAAATTCTGAAATCAACAATGGCGTTTTCGATTAAAAATGTAGTTAAAAGTTAATATTTTTACGTAAAGTTTTTCAAGTTTGAGAGATATATAACAAGATTGCTATAGTCTTTTTTTGACATGATTGACTTTTTTTTAAACAGAAAAAAGTCTTCAAAAACATCCGAATCGGAATATAGTTCGTCCGATGAAGAGGTAAGTATTTCAGTTTTTATTTGTATTCAAAATATTATTCTAACCTCTAATCTTTATTCACGTGTTCAGTTGCAGGAAGCCTTTGCGAAAGGATTGTTGAAGCCAGGTCTCAATATTCCGATCGAAACAAATAATAAGCAATTTAAAAATTGTGTTGTAAGTAGTTATTTTTAGTTGCCTAAAAATATAATATTTAGATTTTCTAATCTAATCTAATATTTTGTATAATCATATTTTAGAGTCTCATGAAGCAAAAGTTGAGCGAAATAAAGCTGAATTTGCCATGGATTGAAAGGCTAGATATGGTAAATGCTCCAGCACCACTGGCACCAGAGTTGGCTCTTCAAATGCAAGAGCAAGAAGTGAAACGGGCTAAGCAGTTGCAAGGAAACAAGAAATTACCTCAATATGAACCATCCCAAGATCCTGTTTTAAATGACTTTCGGAGGGAAACCATGTTTCATCGACAGGCTCAGGGAGCTGTTATGGATGGTATTGCTAGATTAAAGAAATTAGGCATACAAACATCTAGGCCAGATGATTATTTTGCCGAGATGGCTAAGTCTGATGAGCATATGCAAAAAGTGCGAGAAAATTTGATGAAGAAACAGATGATAGCACAAAGATCGGAAAAAGTGAGACAATTGAGGCAACAAAAGAAAGTGGCCAAGCAAATGCAAGTCGAGGCTACTTTGAAAAAACATGCGGAGAAGAGGAAAATGTTAGAAGAGGTTAAAAAGTATCGTAAGGGTATAAGGCAGGATCTTGATTTCTTGGACGATAAGAAAAAACCAGAGAAGAAACAGCTAAATCATAAAATAAATCCAAAGGCACAAATGAAAGCAAAATTGAAGGCTGATAAATATGGTTATGGAGGTAAGAAGCGTCGTAGTAAATGGAACACGAGCAGCAGTTCGGCTGATATTTCCGAATACAGGCGGTCGCATAAGCCTGGGAAACAAGGAAAGCAGGGAAAAGGTGGTAAAGGTAGCAAAGGAAAACCAAGATTAGGTAAAAATCGTAGAATACAAATAAAAGCAAAAAGAAAGATGTAAGAAAGAACTTGAGTGTAATTGCAGTAAGCTTGATTCTCATTTCGTATAATTGTATATACTTGAGTGGCCAAAATAGTGCGAATGGAGTTTTTTATTAATAAATTGTTTGTATACAATTACACTCGAGTAATTAATATAAATTATATGATAATGTACATGTGTACCTAATCTATCTTATCCAGAAAATTATCCAAATTTCCAATTAAACTTAGAAAAATTATGGCGCACGTTTTTTTCATTTTTAAATGCAAACTGCAAAAGTTTTGTTTTATATTTCTCGCTAGAATTCAGATTCATAAGTTCATTGCAACATCTGCTTTGATTTTGACCTTACAATAGTCTGATAAATAAGTAATATTAAATATTTTTACTTTGTAATAACAAATTGATAATGCGTTTATATTTACATTACACAAATCAATCCTATATCAACAGTTTTAAAATTAAAATTAAAATTTCAGCGAGATAGGAAATTATATTATAGATTACGTACATATATTATAGATTACGCGACTTAAAAAATTGCACAAGAAAATCCATTTTTCCCTCCTTTCCTGTATCAGCTTATACAATGGCGCGGAAAAGAGCTTGACGCGAAATTCACGCTACAGAATTCGATCACCTAACACATGTTTCGCATTAGACAATCCGTTGTATGTACACACGGTGCTACACGCGTAGGATGCCGATTACATCGTCTATTACATCCTCCCTGAATCGTGCACCGATACATATATACATACACGAACGAGTTGCTCCTGCGATATCCCTCTCATTCCTCGGCGGTTGATCCATCGACAGATATATCTCGACATCGATAACGATTTGGTGAACCTGTCGTCGTTCTTCTCGCAAGCTAGGTCTATCGTTCGGACGTGCCTTGGCAAACGCGGATTGAAAATTCGAGAGGCACATCGTACGTGCACGTGTGGTAAACGTATATACAAGGTGAGCCAGAGGAAAATGTACATAAATTTTTAGTTTACTATACGAATTACTTAAAATACTTATATAAGGAGATATCCTTGAGATTTCAAAGAATTACTTGAAAATTATGTACTCTTTTTTTTTTTTTAATTTAAATATAATTTATAGATTTTCCGATTTCTTTAAAATACAAATAAAATATGACCTCGCAATTAATTTTATCAAATGCATATTTGTATTGCTTTGTATTTTAGCTATTGTTGCGTCAATCTGAAACGCATAAATTATCGAAAGAGCTGTCTATCTGGGATAACAGTAGCTGAATTTGAATACAACCATTTTATCTGATTCACCCGGTATGAACGTGAGTTTGTCGATGTTTCGGATTGCCGAAGTACGAGGCGGTCCGTAGAATACTGGATAATACGCGTGATTGGGCTCCGAATGTATACAACTTGTTATTTGGCGAACGGAAATACCGCCATTGCGAATTGCGTACATAAGGTTCTCCGTCTCTCTCCTCCCTGCAGGTGCACTCTATATAAATACATATATCGTATTATACGCATATATTAAGAATGTATACACGGTGTGTATATATATATATATATACGTTTCAATTTTTCAAATATGTATATATATAAAAATAACGAAAAATATTATTGTCACAAGTACTCTTAATTATTCTGTCAAAAACTCGTGCGATCGAATCTAAAAAATGTACGATGATTTAAATTTACCGAATTTAAGAATTTTCGCTCTATTAAATTTACTAGATTCGCAAGCTCTAAAAAAAAGAAGAGTGTATTTACATGAAATCGTTTTCCTGAAAACATTATTTATCGCACGATTTTGCCGCGGGTTATTATATTTAAATCCCAGTAGCGTGCATCTCTCTCTGCCGCATTGCCTTTCGTTTCGGTTGATGCGAGCACACGGGAGCTCACCCTGGGAATCCGCTTCCCAGGTAACAGCTGTTTTCGTAACACCGGCTCTCGATGTATTTTTTTTTTGCGCGCGGTCCGAATCTAGGCAATTACATTCGTACGTGTCGGGGGTGGCGCGCATGCGCGTTAGCGGTTGGCACGCTTGCTTTCTTATTCTGGCTACCTGCCGCGTTTACGTTTCGTGTGCGCGACATATGCTCGAATTATTATTAAAACGCGTTTCTTACCAAGTGCGTGTCCGAACATATATAAAAATGCAACGCTCGAAAGTCGCCGAGGAGAGGCGAGTGAAAAGGATCGACGCGGGAATTAATCTGGACGCGAATCGAAAGTCTTCGAGATCGCCGGCGAAATGAACCTTCTGGAAATCATCGAATGACGTCATCGACGTGTATTCCTGTATTTAAGGTATGCGGATAAATCTACCCGTAGACGATATAAATTTTGCGATATGAATTGCCATATTTGTAGCGTCGAAATATCGGTATATATTCCAACTTGTCGCGATATTCTGTATGCGGAATAAATTCGAGCTTTTTTCCCTCCCCGCTTACACCCGCGCGCGCGCGCGCGCACATATGCGCATATTTATGGCGGGAATCCAGACGCGGGAATTAATATGGTCGCATCTCGCGAGCGCAGATATTTGTATTGACAACAACTGCGGCGCGACACGTATCCTCCGTCGGTTGCTAATGGGCGAAATTTGTTTCGTCCAGTGTCTGCGGGCGATTTGGCCGATTTCAAATTTACCGGAACCGTATCGTATCGTAGGTACGTCCGTTCATGTGTGCGCGCGCGCGGGCGGACATGCATATCTCGACACCAGACGGCAATGAGCTCACGGAAATGTGACGCGTCGACGAGTCAATATCCATCTCAATTATTCGCCTCCGAATGCCGCTTCTGAAATGATCCCGCGTATTACAGAACGTGATGCTCTCGTTTAATCGATATTCACTTTGCGGTTTACGATTATCGCCGTCGTTAATTGTCGATTCTTTTCTAACGGGCCAGGCCATTTTGTTCAAAACGTCTCTCCTCGACGAAAAATTACAATTAATTTTGATTCATCTCTTTGCTGATCAAAAATTGAATTCGATTATTATATTACATCGATATTTCTCGATTTTCCCAATTTTCTACGAATGTTTTTCTCGCGGACGACTCCACCTCTCTCGCGCTCGAACAGAAATATGTGCTTCCCGATGCGCGTCAACGAGCTTCCCGGGGAAGCGTAAAAATCGCTCGCCGCATTACGCATGTACGTACATGCGTGGGCGCGCGTGGCCCGGAATAGTTTACGGGGAATAATACAGTTGCCCCCTGTGGTAGATGCGGGATAGTTAGCCGTAGGGTACTTCTGCGTGCTCTCGCACACGGTGTGTACTATAAAGCTCGTAGTAAATCGACTGTGCAGAGCCCGAGTTCTCTCGTGTTGCACGTACGTGGAAAGAGGAGGAAACGGCCGGGATACAGGGGGAGGGGGGAGAGGCAGGATACGCGGCGATGCAGTAAGAGGCGCGGAAAGGGGGGCAGAGAGAGAAAGAGAGAGAGAGAGAGAGACGGGAAACCATTATTGAAATGCAGTAAATGGCCGTGAGTTTCAATTGCCCCTGGGTGCTTCCACTGTACCCTACGAAAGAGGCAACGGAAGGGAAGTAGTGAGAGTCTGGGGGCAGGGGGGAGGGGGATAGATAGGAGCAGGGAAAGGCGTCCCCTTTCCACCCGCTACCCTCTCGCTGCTACGCCCGTCTGACCCGTTCCGCCGCAGATGGGAGAATTACGGGCGTTCGCCATGATTCGCCCTGTCGGCACGCGAAAACATACTATATCGACTGATAGCCGTCACAATGGCGATTAGCGTGTTCGATTAGTTTTATTCTCACGAGACTGGAACGCGATTAGATCCTTAAGGCTACGCATCTTTTTATCCGTTCGATTTTTTGTCTCGATGCATCAAATCTCGATGCACATTTTCAATATGGCTTTTGCTGTGCGCTTATAGACGTACTCGTATACACGCAATGTTTAAGAATAGCTATTGTGTGTAGTGGTGTACGGCAAGAGGAACTTTTCCTCAGAAGTATAAATCGCGTTGACATTCATCTCTAGACGTGCTTTCATATGCACCTTCATGTATTCCGAGAAGTAACATTCGACGGAAATGTCATGCGGCAAGAATCAAATCTATCCCGTGTTTTATTGAATCTATTGCACAAAAGAGAGGGTCGATAGTTTTCCTTATATAAATATGTACAGAACTTCTCTCTCTCAAGTTACCGGTAAATTACATCATGGTGTAACACACATCGTGTTACTTTTAATTCCCAAGATAAGAAATTACAAATAAAAAATTGCAATTAAATTACAAATAAAAAATTGCTATTAAAAAAATTAATTTTTCAGTATAAAGTTTTATATATTATTGCACATACAACACAATACATACGTATTCGCTTCTTCGCGACATGATTTACTTATTATTTATCTATTGTTTCTATTATTTATCTGTTATTTATCTATTGATACGCACTTAAAAAACAATGTTATAAGCATTAGATAAAATAAAGAATCGTCGCGCATTTATTGTCACGTATAGTCACGTTCTCAGGAGAGAACAACGTTTCCCAAGCGCCAAAATGTTAGGTAACACAGTCAGAGAGACAAATGCGATATCGTGCGTCTCATATCTATATCGGAATTTCAATGGAGTAGATGATATTCGGCGATTCGCAGACGCCAGTAACCAAATTGGACCCACGTGTTACCGGCATACTAATAAGATATACCAAATTCTTGGTCGCCGACTTTATTTCCTCCGGATCATCCATTCGCAAGCATGTAATAATTTTTTATGAGTCTACAAAGATCTGCGAATATTACGCAATGTTACTTTTCCTGCATTTCTTATCCTTGATTAATATTTAACAATATAAAACATCGAAATTTGTATTTGGCTTAAGGTTCCTTTAATTGTACTGTACATCGTGTGTTGAATGCTATAAGATATATAATAGATTCCTGTATCTGTTTTTGTTTAAAGCAAACGGGCTGCAATTTTGCACAAAATATTTATACGCTTGACATAAAAAAGTTTCAATCAGCTCAGTTGGAATCGTAATTTTAATCCACGCGCGCGTTTACATACGTAATTAAATTAAGCCGCAATTATTTGCATTTTTAATTAATGGCCGCGTTGGAAAATATTATTAACGACCTACGCAATGCAGCGGGCGCAAAAACAAAATTTTATCCTTTACATCATGATTGATTTTTATCTTTTATGAAGTTCTGTGTATTTAATATCTCGTCAACAAAATTATAATTTAGAATCAATTAAAACTTACAAAGGAAAAACATCTTTACATTTAATAGAAATGTTTATATCATTTATATCATGTATAATGATTGGAGAGCTAAATTATTATAATAATCTATATACAATAAAAACTTTTGCTTTTAATTAATTATATTAGGAAGAAAAATGACTGAACGAGTTAATTAGCTAAATATATTAATTCCAGAACAATTGCTTTCTTCATGAGTCCTAATTTCTAATTCTCACGGTAAAATTGTCTAAATAATAATTCCCCGAGACTCATAACTTTCATATAGAACTAACGAGCTTCTTAATACCGGCGCTTTACTTTTGCGAGAATAATCACGTCGTATAACGCTATCAAAGAGATGCGCAATAAAAGAGAGCAAATATCAATACAAGATATCCCCGTGAAGGAAATGAACGGTAAAAAGGAGATCGCGCAAAGCATGGGGAAGAAGTCCGAGGGAGAAAGGAGAGAAAGTGAGTTATCCCTCTTCGAACTGCGCGTCGTCGACGGGGAAATAACTCTTTGTTAGGACGAGCCTGCTAATAATGAAGTCGATATTAATCGTTTGCGCTCTCCTTCTCCAGGAAAGCTGGACCGGCTCGTTTGTTACCCCGGATGAGTAAATACGTGAAACGTATCCGGGATAAAGGGCAAAAGCGGAAAAGGAGAGAGTGGAAACGAGAGAGTGGAAGCGAGAGAGCCCCGTTATTAACCGCGCGAATCGTCACCAACAGACAGACAGTTGCATGTATTTACAGCGAGAGCTCATTACGCGATCTCGAGGACATAATTTTTCGTTATAAATAGCCGCAGTGCGAATTCGGGGGTCCGCCGAGGGAAACCCGTCGGGCTTGTGACGTATGGTCGGCGTGTCGGCCACGATAAAAACTTTAACTGGCCCGAAAGATGATCCGCCTCGTTTCGCCCGCGGCAACTAACAATAGATCGCCCTGCTTTCGCTCATTCTTTTCTTTTTCTTTTATTTCTTTTTCTTTTTCTTCCCTCTTTTTACTTCTTCGTTGTGTTCGAAAGAGAGTTGCCATCAAGCACGCGAATTTCGACATTTCATTTCTAGCTCTATCATGTACATAAAGAACTGGTCAGAAAAATGAAATTATTCCATTTCTTAATATTAACTCAGATTTCCGCTTATTATGTTTTATAAATAGTGATTTAATATTTTTTAAATTTACATTTATAAATATATATATATATATATATATAATATATATATAATATATATATAATATATATTATATATATATATATTATATAAATATATATAATATATATATTTATATATATATAATATATATATATATATATATATATATAATATATATATATTTTATATATATTATCTAATGCGCAATGAAATTTTGCGCATGGATATTTTTTTTATATTATCTGTGATATATTTTTGTATATTTTCTCGTTTTCAATACTTAAATAGCTTTAAAAAGCTTTTTTGATATGTATAAATTTAATTCCATTAAATATTTACCTAATTTCATTATTTTTAACAAAAATAGCGTATGAAGAATCATAAGATATATTATTACTCCATCTAATTTTACTCCATTATGTATTATTACTCCACCCAATCTATATCGTTTTAATGGTTACAAAAGTATACAATTACGAAATTGACATTTTAATTATACTATAGTCGAATTGTAAATACCTTATAAAGACCTTGTCAATGCTTCTAGCTATTTTGTTTTGGTTCAATTATTTACATGTGAATACACACACACACATTATTTTGGTTCCCCCACTTTTTCTTTTTTTTTTGCTTTCTCGCGTACATTATAATGTTTACATATAGATGTAAATACAAGATTTTCAATATCCGATAACCGCGTATAAGAATAATAAGGTCTCAGTTACTGTTGTGATCTCGTGTCATAAGTATCGTGTCGTGAATACGCGACTGTGATTATTACAAGAATATATCTTGTCTCTATATTATAAGGTTGGTCACTTTATTATAATTTCTTTTACACGCGATCGATATCCTTTTAGATTAGAATCTCGAGTCGCTTTTCGTTCGCTCAACGATTCGACTCTTCGCGA